TTTCATATTGTATAAAAATCTGCAGTCTGGTAGTAATTTAGAACTGGTTCTGGTTGGACTTTCTGATCCTTTTGTTATGTTATCGATGCAATTTTCCATTTTTACTTTTAAAATTTTCGTTACAGGCTCTTATAAAAAGTTAAAAAATAAGAGTATTTTATTTTTTTTAGTCATTCCAAGTAATAGCAAAATTTTAAAAAAGCATTTCAGTTATTGTCTAGAAGAGTAGTTCCTCTATCATTTAAAAAAAGTCACTTAGTCCAGTTTTAAAAAGGTGTACGAAAACTTTTGTGGACAACTGTACATTAAACATATATAGTTTGAATTTCAGTAACCAAGTTAATGAGAATTCTAGCTCTAATTTAATTATTTGAAAAACTGGTTCCTTAATTGCTGTACTGATTATTTTACTACGATTTTTCATACTAAAATTTTTTAACTTTTGTTCAGTTATACTGTCTTAACAGCAATCATTTACATTCAAAACAACATCATTAGCACGTCTTCGATGAAACTGAAAAACTCATGAACAATTATTACCAACTCTTTCTGCAAAACTTCAAGCATATGTACAAGAATCTCTCGAATAAAATACAAGCCAATTAAGCATAGCAACGCCGAACTCATTGAACCGAAGAAACGGAGATTACAAGACTATTAAAAAATCTACATAACGTCCGCATACGCATAAACTATCAAGCACGATCTCTATCGAGACTGCAAACTAGCAACCGCATAAAATCTTCGAGACGTACACATCCCCCCCTCTTATACTACCTAGAAAACCTAAACCTTTTTCAAAATTCCGATCGGTCGCGATAAGAGACAACATCTAGCAAGATCCAAGGATCTGCCGGTTGATTTTTCGCGGCAGGATAATATTCGAGTTTTATTTTCCGTCTCTCTCGCGGGGACTACTTAGTTGCTTATCCAGTCCCTCGGAATATTTTCCATTTTCAAGAAAGGTTATCCCGGGTTAATGAACACGTCGGCCATTCCGTTGCATCGCCAGCAAGCAGTAAAAATCGATTTCATGAAACATGATTATACCTCGGGGCCTGGATTGCGTCGTGTTTGCATTTACCTTCGACGGCCGGCGACGGAGTGACAAACAGACGCATCCGTCGAGCGATTACCGACTTTTTCGGATCTGGGAATCCCGATAAAGGATCCGTCCGGACAAAGAGAGGCCGGTCTTAAACTTTGCTCGGGTTTGCTCTTGCCCGTTCGAACTAATAGGCCCACATTACCCGGTTTTATTGGCTCGTAATTTCCGTTTCAACTGTCAGAAAAGCATCGCGCGCAAGGTTCACGGGGAGGATATCGCGTCCGAAGAGGTCGACTGTGACCGTGGCCGGGGCCAGTTTCGCAACTTATTGGCACAAAGTGGTTTACGATTCAAAAGGGGAAGAACGAGCCCCGATAGCGCAACCGAGTTTCTTTCACGCCGCGCCGGACCATTAACCGTCGTCGTCCTTCGTGAAACGCGGGTTGACGCTTTCGCGGAGAGCGCGCTGTCTAACCTGTTCCAGTGATCTAAGCTGGTTATCACAACCGTTCCCGTTTACTTTGCCGGGCATAATTTACGTTTTTCTGAAAATGTCTGCCGGATACCGGGCCCATTAAAACTTAACCGCTGGTTGTCGCCGATTATGGTTCACTGTCAATTATAAGCAACCCTCCTCTCTTTTTCCCCGCCGCTGGAACCGTTTCGACGGGGCGAACTGGTTTCGCTCGTTCCGGCGACGATTCCGATTGAAAAATTCGGAAGAACGAACCGATCTTCACCCTTTTCTCGCGCGTCGATCATTCGGTTGCCGGTGATTTCGTAAGCGAAACCAAAGATATTGGAGATTTTCGCCCGTTTAATGAAACAGGCATCTGGATTCCGAGAACGTAAAAGAATTTGTGCCGGATGAAGTAAGCAGTTACGATAAATGAGACACGAGCAGATAAGTGAATAATTAATTATGACTTGCATCACCTTCAAATTCACCGGCATTGATTTTCTTATGCAATTTTTTTTGCACCTTTTTTGCAAATTTTTTGCATCTTTTTTATGCAAATCTTACGGATTTGTGCAAAAAATGAGCAGGTGAAATTTAAAAGAATAGATAACCTCCTTTTTCGCGATTAGTTCAGACGATCTAAATTTTTGTGGAATGTTAGAGAGATTATCTATCTAATTATTAAAGCAAGCATATTAAATTATCTAATTTATCAGTCGACGACTAAAAAAATTGTTCTAAAAAATTGCGATTGGTTCGCATGATAAAAGAATTAAAAAATGATGCTTCCTCAAATTTTTTATGTGAACCTGTAACGAAAGTTAAAAATCTGCATTTTATAGATTTCGATAACTTGTACGCATATTCAAGATACAGCCGCTGAAAGATGTGAAAATAACCTCTTCTTTATGATATTCGTGAACAGCTACTATTTTTGCGAGCTTTAAACGTCAACAGCTCACAACAACGTAAACCGATTTCAATAAAATTTTCAGTATAGATACAAGTTGCAAGATAGTATGCATACAAGAACCACAAAATGCATTTTTTAAATTTACATTACACGCTCAGATAAAATCATTTTTCAATTCTTTTATCATGCCAAACAGTTGCAATTTTTGAAAACAATTTGTTAGCCATTGTCTAGTAAACTAATTTATCTAACATTCGAAACAAATTTAAATCATTTGGTCTAATTATAAAAAAGTTATTCCGTTTTAACAGGTGTACGAATACTATGTACACCGACTGAAGATTACAAGAAATTCGATTTGTCGTTATTTCGGCTCATCAAAATTGTTAATTAACGCCAGCTTTACGGGACCCGTCAAAATGGAGGGTTACAAATGTTTTAATTGACGATTCTTGAGATTGTAAAGATGCATTTATGAGCTACTTCTTCCACTTCGTTATTTTGAGCAAATGTTACGATAAAACTCGTTACAAAGTAAAGTAAATATATTATTGTTACTTTAATAAAATATTATACAATAAAATACAGTAAAATCTCGATGATCCGGACCAGTCTGAGAAAGTTGAATGTTCGTAATTGAACAGTTACGTAGTTGTAAGGATATCAGACATTTTTGCTACGTTATACAATTGATTTATTTGATATGCAACGCTTTAGATTGTATTGTTCATACGTGGAACGATTTTGGATAATTAATAAGTCAGACATTCGGAGGATCGTAGTTCTGCTGTAATTGCTTTCAAGACTCCGTAAATCTAATGTTAAATAGCGAAGTCAATTTCTGTTAGCTTATTGTTTCCTGAAACTGATGTAGGAAATCTTTCTTGCGCATAAAATACCGCAGTCTAATCGTCGTTAGTGTAATTACACTAATGAACAGCATACGTTTTTGTACATGAAGTAAAAATGCGCATTCTTAATCCGTGTCTTGAATTTAACAGAGATTTTCAGTTTAGATTCTTTGAAACGGAAAATTGAAGTTGGAAATTCATAAGTAATTAACCATTAAAGTAGAAATTATTTACAACTTGACATAATATACATGTATGATTTCTTATACATGTATGTAACTGTGAACACGAAACTAATAAATCTTTTGGACAGTGTACACGTATTTCATGTGATAGATGCTTCCATTAAATAGTGTTTAAGTTCATGCGATACGTAATTTCTAGTGGAACTAGCTACAAGAAAACGGTTTTACTATAACTAACTTGACCCTAATCTGTTAATAATGATCTGGTCGGATGTGGAATTTTTGTCTCATTAGATATTTTCCGACAATTACAATTGAAATGAACTGCATTTTCTTTCGTTTATAATAACCTTGTTGTATTGTATATTATTGTATATTATCATGTCGTTGATAATTTTGATTTCCTGCGTAACGTTTTTCTTTTTCTTATTTTGGAATATTACTTGCAGTTCATTTTCCTGGAACTTCGTAGAAACTAACTGAATTCTCGAAAAATGTGGCTTTGATCTTTTTCAGCTGAATCATGAATCGGCATTTTGGATGATTCAATTTAAAGTCTTTGGGATTTCCTACCTCTGAATTACTATTCAAGGAAAATATGATGCAATTCTCCTAAAGGAGAGAGTAATTGTAAAATGATACTTTTTGTTTAAATAGTTAAGTAAATGTAAGTGAAGTTAGAGCGAGAAACATATTCCTTTTCATTTTGGGTAATTACTTTGATATTTCTTTTTATTTAAGAATCGTAATAGATCATAAACAAGTTTAGTTGCTAAACATAATTAATTCTACTTTTATCATTTTTGTCACAGACTTTTGAATGTTATACTACACATTGTAATCATAACTCTTGGTCTTTTCTCATGGTACGTATGCATTTGAAATGGAATTACAATTCTGATAGTCGAATATCAGATTCGATAATGGAGCGTTGCTTTTACGAGAAACTATAAACAGTAATAACAAAACAGACCCTGCTACTGTGTCAAAATTTTTAATTTTGGTTACTATAACCAGAATAACAAAATCCTAGAGATATATATAGAATAATTTAGTGATATTGTTTCACCATTTTCGATTTACTAAAATCATTAAAAAGGAGGATTAACTTTTTTGGTAATTTCTGTTTCTTAAAATTGACTTGGACAATTCTTATTGAAATATTATTTTATTAGACAAAATTTCTAAATTTCTAGCAGTTTTTAGACAAAAATCAATAAAACCGCGATCATCGCAATCTTTAATTCCGAGCCCATCTAAAAAAGTTAAACCACGTGATTTGTTTGCATTATTTGTCATTCCAACCAGTTGCACTGTTCTGCAAACAATTTTTGCACGCATCGTCCAGCAAACTGGTCTTCCTATCGCACCAAAAAAATTGAAATCGTTTGGTGCAAAAAATTATTCCTTCCTAGAAAAGATTCCGCACGCTCATGTGACATACTAAATTCACATATTTAAAACATCTCCACGTTCCTCCCAAAAGCCGATCGGTCCGCAACTTGGGACACTGACGGCAATAATTCACACGAGCGCTACTCACCGGGATAACCTTCTGGTATGACTATTTCCGGTCCCACCTTGACGTCGTGCCTGTACCGATGTATCAATAAGGTCGCGGTAACCCGAAGTGATTTTTGCTGCTGTTTGTAGAGCAACACTGGCCTGCCACCAGTGCCCTCGAGCCGAACGACCCTCGGCAAGGAGAATCTGTCGAGGAACTCGCGAAGGGGCATGTAGCCGCCGCTGGAGCCGGAACTACCCTCGGCGGTGGCCTCCCTGGAGCTCGGCAGGGACTTCGGCAGTGACGGCACCTCTTCGCTGGACATCGTCGAGAATTCACCGTTTGACGACATTGTTCTGCACAAGTCCCGTCACATGTTCATCGAGCCGACCGAGAACAAGATTCGCTGTTCGAGCCGCGGCTTGCGCCACGCGGTTGCATCGTCGCAGGACCCAAAGTTCCTAGGAAACTCTGCGGAGCGGCAGGACACAGGAACCCGAACGCGCAACGGTAAATCCCGCGTTTACTTTCGACAGCATTTTCTTCTCTTCACCACGGCCGACTACCACCGACGGCACAGAAACCCCATCGACGACTCCCCGATTCCGGCACTTTCCTCGATTATGTCACTCGGATCTCCGGCACTTTCCACTCCGGCAGAGTACAACAAACTATATCGCGACGACCGGCGGGGAACGACTTCGTAGATCGGTCCTGCCCCCCAAACCGCAAGGATTCATTCACTTGTACACCGCCAGTTACCGCGGGCAACAGCACGACAGCGTCTAATCCTCGCCGATCCTTCTGCTCGGCACCGAGGAGGCTCTCTTCTCGAACGCCATGGTGTCGATCGCGAACAGTCCACCTTCGTCGGCTCGCATCGTCTCCTCCTCGCGCGACCACGTCGGACGGAAGAGAGACCCTTGCGTCATTCCCCGTCGAAGCACCCGGGATCCCGAGGAAACCGAAACGACCTGCGGAACCAGATCGACCAGAGTACCACGGGCGGGCGTCAATGAACCATGGAAGAGCCGCCGATTCACGGTGCCAATCGCCGCGCCGGCCTTTCACAGAAACCGCGATATATGTTCCCCACGGTTCGAGCCCCGTGGCGTCTATGATTTAGCACGGCATCTCACGTGGCCACGGGGAGTATCTCGCTTTTATCGCTTCGCAAGCGAGCGAGCGAGCGTTCGAGACCTATCGACGAGCAGGCCTCGGCATCCTGGTAGCTGGGAGACAGCGACGGGGGATGAGAAACAGCACTTCGGGGTGTCTTTCGAACGCTGGGATCGGGAACGGAGCGAAAGGCGATTTTAGAGGATGGCGAGGAGGACGCGATCCGCGTACCGATTGGATCGAGATCGAGCACGCCGGGGACCGTTTTCGACGGAGGAACTACCCCGGTCTCTATGGGAGATTTCAGCTAGGTGGGAACGCGTAGACCTTTCGCGCACAGCGCATACTCCGCAGGCTCCGAAGAAGAACCGATCGAACCGGCGGACGCGAAGTCACTGAGCCCGGCGTGACTGAGGCGAGCGTAAGAGGCCCACTCAGAGTGGGCCCCGCTAACACAGACACGCTGCCAACTGGTCATGTCGCGCGCGGGCCGCCTCTATACAGAGGCGTCGGTGTCGGTGTGCCTACCACCACCAGCTACGAATGCGAACTTAGCCCGCAGTCCTCCGACGGCTAACAGAATGCGTGCCTCTGCCTATGTTCGGCCGACCCACGAGAAGTGGGCTTATTCAATAGAACCTCTATTGTGTCCGAGGAGCTGTTCAGCTCTCCGACAGCATCGAACCGCCCTTAATAGTTCCTCTAGAAACGTAATAGGGTGTGGTAAGTGAAGTCGCTGTATGTACGCGTCTCTGGTTACAAGTATCAACAGTTTGACAGCGGACAAGAGAGCCGATACCGTTCGCTACCAGCGAATTAGCCGGCCGATGCCGGACGGAATTTTGTTTGCGCTTCTGGCAGCTCGGGAGCTACGAGGATCCTTCTTCTCGATACGTGGCAGTTTAAGGTGGCTGATAACGGGGTTTCTTTCGTTTCTGTCGGTTTTAGTTGGCAGAGGCGAGATTGAGTTCCGACGAATGGTTAGACGATTGGCAAATACGATTTTTGTTGCAGAGGATAGTTATACCGATTTTTATGTATTTTTTCTCGCTGAATCTGAATCCGGAATTCGTTTCTCTTTTTTACAGTCACCGATGGCTTTTTTGGAATTCCGCATTGAATCACTGTTTCAAATGAAGTTTAATATTTGTTAGCAAAAGAAGCTGATTGATTACTGCTGGGCGCTCGAACAGGGTTCCAGAAGACAAATACTCCAGAAAATTAATAAGTAGCACATTTTGTATAATGTTTGTACTTTTTAATCCTTAGAAAACCATACGTCTAAAAATACTATCGAGATCATACATTAAAACTTTTTTAAATGAAAAATAAGTCAAACTTTGTAGCCAGCATAATTTCAGTTGATCCCACGAGTTTTTGGTAATAGACACCGTTTTTTATAAGTTTCGATTGATGATGTGAACTTTGATGTTTTCTTTGTCAGCTAGAAGGTACTTTTTGTAACGGTTTGAATAAGTTGAAAGTAGGATAAAATCAAATCTATTAATCAATCTTCTGTTTCAAATGACATTTATTCATACTTATTATTAGACTGCGATACTTTCTGCGTAATAAAATGTGTCTGCTGCTGAAGAATATTCTTACATCCTTAACTTAGTCAATTTTGTCATAAATGCATCAAATATGCAGTCTTCTTATTATAAATGCGTAGAATTCGCAATCTGAAAATGAATAAACAAAAATCGAAAAAATACTAAATAAGAGCTAAGAAAATGAATTGTTTCTAAGGAATGCATACTTTCGAATTGAATAAGTAATTGTAATAACAAAAATTTTGGCTTTAACATGTAACAAGATTCGACAGTAATTGTGCTAGTTTAAAATCATTTTGAATACGATGTAGTTACGAATATTAATGATACAACTTCTACGCGTGTAATATAGTATAATATAATTTGTATTTAGTAATAGTATAATTATCTTTTTTTTTCTGCTACTTTTTAAGATTAGCAATACAAACGTCGAAATGAAAGTAAAAAGAACAAGTATTACAACATCTTTTGACAGTGCACGTTCAAAAATTGATGTCGCACGTGGAAACTTGGAACATTTCGTTATTAAAATACCTTCGGGATTCCGTTGTTTGAATTCTAAGTGCGCTACAATACAATACAGTATTCCAGCAACCTATATTATTAACGACATAACTGTAGCTCCTTAAACAGCAATCTCCCGAACGAATATGCGAGAAGAAGCAACTGGATCCTCCTAGAAGATTGTCCAAAGTAAAAAGGCTCGCTGTAAACACGTACCCGTCGCGTTACCTTATACAGCTATCTCTAACGCTAAAGGCTAATGGTACACACCCCATTTTGCAGCACCTATGTACACTGTAACACACGTCGCTCATTTGTTGCGGCAACGACGGAGCATACAATTTGTAGCTTTTGATTTCTCGATGCAGAAAAAAAATAGAGCTTGTCATTTTTACGGAGTGAATTTCGTTGGAGAGTGTTCGTAAGAACACTATTGCATTGCCACGTTTGATCTAATCGAATAATTTCAATGTTCACGCTTTTTAGTCGCTCAGTGAATTTAAAGTATCGAAGTGGCAAAAATAATGATCCAGTGCTCTAGGTTTGTGTTTCATAAACGTTGGTCTGCGTCAATTGTAGGGAGTAGAGAGTCGATTGAAGATTCTTT